GAAGGAACGAGGGTTGCTCTGGTAAATCCAGGAAGTCTGTTTCAGTCTTTTTGGCTGAAGAGTCCCTTTTGCTTCCTGGTTTACAAGGCTGAACCAGCCACATGTAAGCAGCTGCTGAGATCCACATGTTATACACCCAGATACTCCGAAGGAGACTGAAACTCTCTAAATCCCAGCTCCAAAATTCCTGGGGGAGGGCGTGACTGCCCAGGCCCAGGTAATGTCCAAGTTCTTTCCTTGATGACCAGTTTTCTTGTAGGAATGTGGCAGCATCTGCTGTAGTCCTGTGGATGGTGGAGGGGGCTGAGAAGGGGACATTCCTGCGACAAGAAGACCTGGCAGACAGTTCCCAGGGGTCTACTCGATAGGCTTATTCTTCTCCATCTTCTCTACTCAGAGCTGCTCCTTGCTGGTCCTCTCAATCTGTCTTCACCTCCACATATATAAATATTACATCTTTTTTTCACGCCTCACTCTACCTCATGACTTCTCACTCCAGCTATAGCCCAGTGTTACTGCCTAAAACTCTGCATGTTTCCTTATTCAAATTTCTCAGCTAACTGAAATTGGTTAGAATGCCCAAGTTTCCACAGCAGGCCAGTTCATAGGCACTGTTTTGCTTAAGGACTGGCTGCCTTGAGGTGCAGAGTGATTTTACTGTGGGCATTAAACAGGGGCTGGTACTGTGAGGAGATGTAAAAGGACGCTCTTCCCGAAAGCCTTCCCAAACTTTTCCACCCTGAATCTCACTACCCATAGCCTTAGACCCTTGAGGTTGCCTTGGGATGCTGAGTGCATTTGTCTAGCTCCTACTGCAGCAGAGATCCAAATGTACAAGGGTTTAAATAAGTTAGAGTCTTTCTTTAAAAAAAAAAAAAAAAAAGTTATTTATTTATTTATTTATTCATTTATTTATTTATTTATAGAGACTGGAAAGGGAGGGAGAAAGACAGGGAGAGGACCATTGATCAGTTGCCTTTCAAATGCACCCTGACCAGGGATGGAACCCACAACCCAGGCATGTGCCCTGACCGGGAATCAAACAGGCAACCTTTTGTCTTGCAGGACAATGCCCAACCAACTGAGCCGCACCAGTAAGGGCGAGATTATTTCTTGATTACATATAAAATGGGAAATAAGCAGTCCAGAGAAGATTTGATGAGATTATGGTGTTGGGGCCTAAACTCTTGCTGACTTGCTATTGTATGATCCGTACAGTGTTGGCACATCTTCATGGATCAAGACGGATTGTTACCATGTTCGAGCCAGTGGAAAGGGGAAAGTGCATTTCCCTTCCCTTTGAACACAGGAGTCAACATTTGCATACATCCCTTCACTCATATCTCATTAAACAGAACTTAGTTACGTGGCCACATCAAGCTACAGGGGCAGCTGCGCTATGGAGTCTCTCTTCTGGGTGGTCATGTGTCCAGGTAAAAGTTAGGGATTCTGTTACTAAGGTGCAAAAGAAGAGTGAATATTGGAGGCAATGGCATCACCATTTCCCTGTCACTCGTTTTGACCCTCTCCACCATCCAGTCTGTCATCGCACTCTGGCACATCCACATAGGGCCCTCTCCCTGCCCGCGATGCCCTGGTGGACCAGGCCCTTACTGCTTGATCTGTACACAGCGTCTCAGCACAACCTTCTAACTGACCCTCACCTCCAGTCTCCAGCCTCCCTCTGTGAACATTCTAATGTGCAAATCTGATCTGGCTCCATTGTATAGAAATTCTTCCGTGGCTCCCCACTGTCCATACCATTGAGATTTTAACTGCAGATTTCTGAATTCCTGGAATTACATGAAGGTTTTACAGATTTATGTGCATTTTTCTAACAAGAGCTTTGGGTTCTCAAAGAGGTCCCTGCCTCCCCCTCAAGTTATAGGCTTGAATCCAAATTCCTAATCTCAATTTGTATCTACTGACATTCTTCTTAAATCTACTCTTCAGGCACTTGCCCCATGCAACCTAAACTGAAGTCATTTTGCATGTCTCTCCCATGGCCCAGTCAGCTCATGGTCTTTCACATTTCACGTCTTTGCAGCTTGCTCTTCTACCTAGAATGCCCTGGCAAACTCCTCCCTCCACCTCCTATGGCTCCGCTCAAAGCCACCTCCTGCGTGAGGCTTCCCTGAGCCCCTCTGGCTGAGTACGTGTCCAGAGCACTCTTCAGACCTGCAGTACTCATGCTGTTCATAGTCATTGTCAGCCTGCGTCTGTCTTCTCCACCAGACCATGAACCCTAGAGTCCAGGACCCAGAATAGATAGTCCGCAAATTCTTGTTGAATAAATGGCACTTGTCCTGATCCCCCTCCCCCCAATAGAATATTACTGCTAAAATGTAAATCTGAATGTCACTTCCTGGGTACCAAACTTGATACAGTGGCTTTCTCTCTGGCCCCATCTTACAACCAACCTTCTTTCCTTCCTTTTTCTCCCTTCCTTCCCCCCCCCCCCCATGTTCTTTTAATGCCCAAATCAGTGTTCTCTCTTGTCCAGAGGTTTTCTGCATGCTTCCTCCTTTGCTCCTCTTTGGCTAATGTCTCTTCACCCTTCAGATAGCTTAAATATTCCTTAGGAAGCCCTCCTGGGCTCCTCCCCACCCTCAGACTAGGCTGAGGGTCCCACCTATGTTTCCCCAGAAACCTTGTGCTTTCCTAGCCATGACATGCATCATATCGCTCCATGATGACTTGTCTTCCTTCCCTGCTAAACTCTAAGTTCTCTGACTACTTTGCCTATCATTTATCCTCAGCCCCAAACATAGCAAATACTTAGAAGGGAGTGGGTACCTGATAAATCTGTGTTAAATGATGGCTAGATGAATGAATTTCTCCATCATAAACCTGGTTTTCAGTAGCTTTCCATTGCCTTTAGAATAAAGCTTCATCATAATTTAAGAGTACTTTTATGATCTGGCCACAGGTTTTATCAGTCCCATCTCTTCTAAATCTACCCTTTTATCTCAGTGTTTCACACAGACTCTATGTGACAGTCCTATTAAACTGAATGAAGGTCCTCAAATGTCTGCTCTGTCATCATTCATCCTTGGCAGCACTGGTTTCTCTTGCCTGGCACTCTCACCTCACTTCACCTCCTACTCCTCTTCCTTTTCTGGGTGACATTGACTAATCTTTGTTTTCAGCTCAAATACCTCCCCTTCCGGGAAGCCTCCCTTGACTTTCTCAGATTAGCTCTGGTACCCATTATTGACTCCCCTACATTATTCTGGGCTACCTCCTCACCATTCTGTTTTCCCAAGTAGATGGTGAAGTGAGTCTGAACACAGAACATGGAGCCCACCCACCCCATTGTTGACTGCAGAACCATAATAGCAAATAAGATTCACAAGGCAAATTCCCAAGAACCAAGAGCAGAGAAATGCAAAGAAATGTTGAGACAAAAGGTTGAGGGGCAGCATTTTAATATACAAACAGTCAAAGGCCAGGGCCTTGCTACTCCAAGTATGGTGTGGCCCAGCAACATTGGTATCCCCTGGGAACTGGTTAGAAGCACAGAATCTCAAGCCCCTCCCCTCCCCTCCCCAGATCTACTACATTCAGGTGACCTGTGCGCATATCAGAGTTTGAGAAGCACTGGAGTAGACTATTTATTAATGTAGGGTTTTGCTCTTAAAATGTGCTTTGAGGTCAAAATAAACCCACTTAAAGCATTTTTAGCTTATTATTTGCTCCATTCTTGCCACCTCTGAGCAACTCTGTCACACGCCAGTGTCCTGCTCTGGGACTGTGAGCCTCTCTTATGAATCCTAATGGAAAACTTCTGTAGGCAGTCTTTATGGATTAAAAGTGGATTTCCAAACTTCCATCCTCTGTGCCTTGCACAACACCCCCAGGAGGTAGGTTGTATAATTTTTGTCTTTAAAGATAATGAAACTAGGGCCCAAGGAGGTTTTGTGCCTGACCCAAGGGACGCTGAGCAAATTGGCATCTCAGTCAAAATAAGATCTCAAGCTTTTGTGTTTCCAATGTGAGGCTCACTGAACTTTGATATCTTTCTTTTTCATAAAAGGTGATTTTGTGCATAAGAGACTTTAAGAAAGAACAAATTTGCAGATAACCCTGTGTGAGTCACTGAATATGAGCCATGTCCATAGGAGCCTGGGGATTATGGGAGTTAAGGAAGAGCTGTCCGATGGAGAGAGTCAGCCCGGGGGAGGCCCGGCTCTGCCTGGCTCCCACACTGCTGTTGTAGCCCACGCCGGACGGTCCCGCAGTCTGGGGCCTCAGAAACCTCAGAGCCTCGTGGGGCTCATAACTCACTCATGAGGGCTGGAGGGAGCCGGGATTACCCTACGGCCATGGAGGAAATGTGGTGGCTTCTGGATGACAAGAACCCATCCCCAAGAGGACACTCTGATTCTTTTGTTTTTTTCAGACTAGCTGACATAACCGACTGCCTAAATACAGGCGGTGTGCTTCACCGGACTGGATTTCCTGATTAATTTCAATGTCCTTGGAGGAAGCTGGAGCTACTCAAATGCCTCACCAATGGTCCAGATGCAGATCTGGCCCTGATGCCAGTGTGCTTCTTTCCACCTTGACTGAGTTTAACATTTCTCTGTCCACCCCAAGTGAACAAAGGCCCCAAGTGGAGTTTGTTCAGTTTTACCATTCTGCGTGGTGATTCTCCCAGGATCTCCTAGGAAATGTTTGACAGGACAACTATTTAAATCTCCCCCATCCTCTCTAGACATGCATAGTCAGGGGGACATCTTCATATATAATCAGTTAAAAAACAAAAAGATGGTGCACTTTGAAATTCCATGTAAAAAGTATTGTTTTTCTAATGTGCTCCTTTGCTGGCTCACTAAGCGATGCTACAAAGGGTAGAGTCACGAAGAATGAATTCCAGGCTGAAGATACTTGGGATTTTAGATGACACCAAAGCACCCTGCACCTTGCGCCCTCCTCTGCAGCCTGAGTTGTCTGGGGGATTGGCCTAAGGCAAAACTATAAAGCATCCTAATGTGCAGAATTATACAATGGGAATGTATGTGCATATTTGACATAGCTTCTCCTCTTGAGGGGCGGCCCTCTGGCTGTGACCCATGCCCTCTCCAAGGGCGAGGGAGGAGTCCAGAGAAGGAGCCCTTTGTTCCTGGCTGCCAGTTCTTGCACGGCCCCTAGGGCCCCAGGGCCCTGCCCTGCTCTGCATGGGCCTGCAGAAGCCCTGCGATTTCCACATGGGCAGGCGGGTTCAGAGCGATGGACAAAGCTGTTCGGCCAGCCTACAGGGGAGAAAGAAAAGGAGAAACAAATTTTATCCTATCTGCCTCCCGCCCCAGAAAGGAAGGGTGAATTGGGAGGAGGGGGTATGCATGGGGCACAGGAGTCCATTCCAGGCATCCAGAGACCCTAGCAGAGGAGGAGAGTCAAATGGTAGGAGTCATGAGAAACGGGCCCCCTTCCACGGAAACAATAGTCACTTCTGGGAAATTCATGTCAATGGAAATAAAGTGTCACTTGGTTTTTAATACACTTTAAAAAAAATTGGAAAACAGAGAAAAGAAAATAAAATAACTCTTCCATTATTCTATTACACAGCTCTACATGAAAGCATTCTAGTCTGTCTCCCTCCAGTCTTTTCTCATACGCAAATCTGTTACTGGGGTTTTTGTTTGTTTCTTTGTTTTTTAAAGATTTTATTTATTTTTAGAGAGGGGAAGGGAGGGAGAAAGAGAGGGAGAGAAACATCAATGTGTGGTTGCCTCTGGTGCGCCCCCTACTGGGGACTTGGTCTGCAACCCAGGCATGTGCCCTGACTGGGAATCAAACCAGCGGCCATTTGGTTCACAGGCTGGCACTCAAACCACTGAGCCACACCAGCCAGGGCTTCATTACTGGTTTTTAAACAGAGGAATGATAGTATATATCAATTTTAAATCTGCTTGTATTTTGAACTTACCAAGGTATGCTGTACAATTTTTCTCTGTTCTTACACAGTCATCAGAACATATAATTTTTCTTATTGGTGACATAATATTCCATAACTTACTGAACTGTTTCCCCTCTGTTGGAGCCACAAGTGGTATCCAAGTCTTCATCACCATACACTTGGCATTCAAAGTCTTTTCCCATTTCTAATTACTTTCTAAGCGCCAACTGTTAGAAGTGGGCTCACAGCGTGGAAGGCCATGCATACTATTACCTCCCCGTACACGACCCCCTGGTGCTTTTTCTGCTGTCTCAGTAACGCAGGGAGCTGCTGGGTCCACTGCAGCTGCCTTCAGAGGGGCTCTCGCAGGCAGCGCCAGCTGGAGAGACGAGGGGAAAGGCAGACGTGACCCAGTGGACACGGCCTGCGAGGGCAGCATAGTCTCATGAATAAGCTCAATTACGTATCCAGGATTCTGAAACCAAGCTGTCTCCAAAAACCACTATTTTGGTAACTCATTTGCAGACAAAACCAGAGGCTAACTATGATCCTTATTTAGCACCAATAGTGTGAATATTATTACATTTTGTTGCATAAATATTAAGGACATTGATACAAGGTCCCCCTAGTTTGTTTTCTCATTTACTGTATGTGGGGGCAATTACTTTCTAAAATGTCAAGTATCTACAGAAGTTGGTGGGAAGTGTTTACACTATGCTTCGAACTCTTCAGTCTTTTCTCTGTGCACCCGGATGGAGCCCAGCTGCCACCGGGGCTCTGCACACACAGACAACCATACATCACAGCAAAAAGCCGAACAAGCCAGCAGGGGAAGAGCGAGCTCAGAGGAGAGGACGACGCTGCGTGTGTGTGCAGAGGCCAGCGGGAGCCCAAAGCGGCACAGGGACTTCATCAAACACATGAAGTTCTTTCCCTGCAGAAGCCTCATGGCTCCTTGCAGCTTTCTTTTATCATCCTTTATGAGTGGTATTTGTCAGATTATTTGATAAATCTCAGTCTCTGTGAGTCCAGGCACTGGATCTGGCCTGTTCCTGTGGCCCAGCGTAAGCGTCCCAGGGCCTGTCCCCGGGCCGCCCTTGGTCGGCTCTCAGTACGCGCCATTGAAGGAGGCAGCGCTGGGCATCGGAGAGCCACTGTACTCATTTCAAAGGGATGAAGATCCTGAGCAACTGAAGTCCTAATGAATTCTTTTGGATTGAGCAAGTCAGGAACAAAGCAAAGATTTTAAGTAGACAAATCTTTTAAAAGCCTCACAAGACAGGGGCCCGGGTTTTAGGCCTGTCCCCTGCAGTTTGGACATGATCGCCAGGCTTTGTCAACCCTGAGGCTCTCTATGACCACGAAGATGGTGTGATCACTGTATTATGGAAAAGAGCCACTGGGCCAGTCCCAAAGGACCTTTGCACTCGGCCCATCTGGAGATAGCAGCCTGCATCTGTGGGCTTCTCAACTGCAGATGCGAAGGGTGAGGGGCTCCATTCAGCTCAGGAAGTGTGGTCTGAGAGACCTCCTGGAGAGGGAGTGTCTCTCAAATGCCTCTGCCAGAGCCCTGGGAACCAGCCCACGGCGGGCGCTCCAGCGGGGGCCAGGCGTGGCATGCCCTGCTCAGCGACGCTGCAGACCCCGAGACAAGGGGGCTCGGGAAGCCAGCACTCCTGTGTGCATGTGTGGGTGCACATGTGTGTGCTGGTGGGCTGCCTTTCAATATGACAAGAATTCACTAGATATCAGGCAAAGATGAACAAGGCAGAGTCTTTGCTTTCAATTTGAGGAGTGTTTCACCCAATGAAGGGTTTCAGAAAACGAAGCCCTTCATAGGGTGAGCCTCGGGGGCCAGGGCTCAGTCCTCGCCACCACCACCTTCTTGTCCTCCTCACTTCTGCAAGCCCAAGAGGCTGGGTGGTCGATTTCCTGAACTGCCTTTGAAACCTAGAGAACATGCTTTGCTGGCTGTTCTGGGAGATCTGCGTTTAGATTGACCGTTAACTGTTGATAAGATGAGACAGTTTCAGGACTTTAATTCTCTCAGGTTTCTAAGGGAATTACCAAGTAATCCCCGCACCCGAGCGCCATGGGAAGGGTGAACATTGAAATGATATGGTGATCATGATGAGGACTGGAATCTGCCTTTCAATGTAAAGCTTGAGGCACAGGGCTTGGTGCTCGGTAGGGTCCCAGTCAGCAGTCCCCAGCTGACACTGAAATTCTCATCCACATCACCCTTGGGAACTTTGGGTGTGAATCCTGCATTGACCCTGACCTGAGCAGGCAGCAAGTGACTGGGCCATAGGTGGGGCCTAGGACGCCCTGTGGAGCTGCCACCCGTACCGCCCAGCCACCCCTGTGCTCACTGGGCACCTCACGCCTCTCCACCTTCCGCTATGACAGGCTTCTGCAGCCGTCCCGTTTAGCTGTCCGGTTCCTCACTTCCAGGCTTCCAGTCCTGCCCTGAATGGCAGCCGACCTCATCCTCAACCCTGGCCTGGCTCTTCCTGATGTAGCACTTGACCGAGATAGTTGTCTAATCCTATCTGGATTTTAGCACTCACTTATACGAGGGTCTCTCGGCCATGGCACTATTGACATGTTGGGCCAGATAATTTGTAATGTTTCATTGTTCCTGTGCATTGTAGTTGTTTAGCAGCATCCCTGGCCTCTACTCACTAGATGCTAGGAACACTTTCTCCCTCACTCGGAACAAATGAAAATGACATTGCTGCCCTGGCCGGTGGCTCAGTTGGTTGAAGCGTCATTCTGTACACCAACAGGTTGCAGGTTCTATTCCCAGTCAGGGCACATATCTAGGTTGCCAGTTTGATCCCCACTCAGGGTGCATATGGGAGGCAACCGACTGATGTTTCTCTTTCTCTCTCCTCCTTCCTTTCTCTCTAAAATCAATAAAAAAACATATCCTCAGATGAGGATTTAAAAAATATTTTTAAAAAAATGACATTGCCAAATCTCCCTGAAGGGCAAAATCACCCTGGAATGAGAACCACTGGACTAAACCAACCATGCTGACCACTTGGTTTCACCCTTTGGGGGCCAGTCTCCTCTGAGGGGCTCCCCTACCTAATTCCAGACCTTCATGCTTCCTATTTTCCCCAGACTCTGCCTGCAAATGCCAAGGACCCTACTTGTTGACGTAGTTAGTGGTTGTTTCGTTTCAGCTCGCTGTTCACCTATTTCAATTACAGTTACCATCAACCGAGTACCTCCTAGGTGCAGGATACGGACTTTGCAAATATTACCATACTTAGGTAACGTCTATTTACTCTCTCCATTTACAGATGAGCGCACAGAGGCTCGCAGTGGTTAGGTGAATGGGCCCAAAGCTCTGTCACTGAACCCAGTTTCAGAGTCATGAGGGTCTCACGCCCACACTTCTAACATTCACCGCAGCCATTTGAAGTACGACAGAGCCCTCCCACCACGACTCTTCCTCCACCTCCTGAAGGCAGCCACAGCCACCTAACGCTCTCTCATCTGTGACCCATCTCCAGAGGCATCCAGGAGACGCTCTCAGCGTCACTGCCTGATTATCCCAGCTAACCAGGGACTTCCAAAGCTCATGCCCCTGTCTCACAGGCCTGCCCTCTCAGGCCTCCCAGAGACAACAGGAGTGGCCACTCCTAAGAGGCCCTGGGCCTGCTCCAGATTAACGGGTTGCCTCCTCCTCCCCGAGGCAGGACGCCCACTGACACAGATCCTTTGTCTGGATGGGCGACGTTTGGAACAGGAGCCTCTTATTTCCAGCAGCCCACCACAGTTCCTACATGCATCTCGAGAGGGTCTGTCTCTTCTAATTATCTCAGAAATAGCTTTGGGGTGAAGCAGGGGTTCACGGGACCTGAAGACATTGAACCGGGGCGCCTGCTTCCTGCTGTGTGATGTCAGGGACCTAGCAGCTTGAGTCACTGATGGAACAATCTAGGGTAGTTCAGATGTAGTTTAGTAAGAGGCTGTCCCTGGGAAGAGAGAGGGCTCTCTATCCCTCCCCCGGCCTTTATTCCTTTTGAACTGAGGATGTTAAGGAAATATACAGAAGTCTGTTTAAAGCATTAAATTCTGGTGCCAACATTAAGAACACTGGAGTTAAACCTGCTCTGAGAATCAGCAACTTCAGACTTTATGGTAGCTACATAAATTCTCTAGGCCTCTGTTTCTTATCATTAAAAAAATGAGATTGCACTATCTACCTCACTGGATTATTGAGAATTAGTGCACAGAAAGAATTCAGTTCCTGTGAGTACTCCGGAAATATTACCTGCTGCAACTATCAGTCACAGGATCACATCCTGACAACTTACTTCTGAAGTTTAGGGGTTCATTCATTCAACTGTTGATTCATTCACCTGGTATGTGGCAGATACTCTGTTAGGTGCAAGGATTCAGCAGAGAACCAGAAACATGAACCCGTAATGTGACAACCAAGACGATGATGCAGCAATTAAGAGTTCAGGTTTAGGAACCTGATGGAGAAGTGTTCCACTTGCTGTGTGATCTTGGTTATGTTACTGAACCACTTGGTGCCTCCATTTTCTTGTGAGCAAATGAACGGCATCAACAAGTTAACATAACAAGGTAGTTGTGTGATTTAAATGGGATGGCCCATGGTAAATGCTTAGTATGGGGCCTGGCCCAGAGAAAGCACTTGATACATGGAACTGTTATCATGTCATTATCATCGCCACCATCATTATCATCATTTCTGTCACCTTACAAAGAAGTTTACTAAAGAAGCACGTGTCTGGCATTGCAACTTCAAGCAGGCTGGCTTGATGAAATGGGCTATTCTATAAGGTGGGTCACTGTCAGAGAGTGGACATAACGTCTCCCTGGTAGCTTCCTCCAGCCTTTTGGGAGTCCCCATGAAGGGCAGAGGCTCTCCATCCAAGCTGCCGCCTTACAGCCCGCATGCTGTTCTAGCCAGGACCAGGCAAGGTTCCGGGCCCTGGCCAGGCCTGGGCACATTCCCTCACGATGGCGTGAAAGGCTAGGGTTTGGGGTTTCCCAAATCCAAGGCTCCAAGCATTTGCCATGGATTATCTCATTTAAATCCCACAACAGGTCAATTCTGAGGTTGATTCTGTTTCTATTGCCAAGTGGTTCCTTGGGTTCTGCTGGCTGGCAGGGTGCTTTTCAGGAAGGGAAACATCTTCTCGTTACTGCCTGTGCATCTCACCTTGTCTGTCAGGCTGCTGTCACAGGCCGGGTGTGCCAGCAGCAGCTGCACCATGTCGGCGTTGCCATGGTGACAGGCCAGCATGAGGGCCGACGATCCATCGTGGTCCTGCAGGTTGACATCCGCCTGGCAGCTCAGCAGCGCTCGGACCATGTCCTCCCTGTCGTGGCTGACTCCCAGCATCAGCGCAGTCTGGCCTCCCTGCACACAGAGCCCAGGGCCGGGTGAGGCCGCTGCCTGCGGGGAAGGACTCCTGTCCTGCCTGGGCGTGCTCAGGGATAACTTCTCCAGAAAGTGACCAATGGACTGAATTTTCTTCTGCCCTTGGTAGGGGACACATTCTTAAACACCTGGCAAACTTCCACTCATTTTCTAAGACACTAGTCTAATGCTACATCCTCTCTAAAGCCCTCTACCGACAACCAGGCATGGGATAGATGACACAGCACTTACCACATGGTGTTACAACCTGTCAATCCCTTTCTCTTAGACTGAAATTTTTGATGGCAGGGACTGCCTTTTTCACCTCCTTCTCCCCACTGCCTACCACCTAGTACGTGCTGATATGTGTTGAATGATGGGGTAAGTGAAGGGTTGAATGTTTCAGTACCATGACTTCCTACTGCCTGCCCCAGCCTGACCTCCTCCAGGGAGCCTTGGTCTGCTCCAAGCGCCTCTGGGATTTTCAGTTTAATGACACCAAAACCCTCCTGTCCAAGATCTTGCATGGCCCTGTGGTCATTTCTAATCCATACCCACTGACAATTCTCTACATCCCTATGAGTCAGAGAGTGAGTGAGTCCAAGCTCTGGTCTTGCTGTTTCCTAGCGCATGACACTGGCCACCTCATGTGTCTTCCCTGAATCTTGATTTCTCTTTTCTTTTCTTTCTTTCTTCCTTTTTTTAAAAAAGATTTTTATTTATTTATTCATCTTTAGAGTTAGGGCCAGGGAGAGAGAAAGACAGGGAGAGAAACATTAATGTGTGAGAGATAGGTTGCCTCTCACACATCCCCAACTGGGGACCTGGCCCACAACCCAGCAACGTGACCTGACTGGGAATCGAACCAGCGACCTTTCAGCTCACAGGCTGGCACTCAATCCACTGAGCCACATCAGCCATGGCTTCTCTTTTCTTAAAAATTAATATAATAATGATCAGCCCTATGTACTTCACAGGGATCTTGTAGAAATCAAATAAGATAAAGGTTGTAAATGTAATATTATGTAGTAGTAATTTTTCTGATTACAAATTGCCCATCATTTCTCGTAGCTTTTCGTGTATATACATAATTCTTTTATAGCAATTGGTTATATTTGCCCTCATGGTTCTCTCAGGTTCCACGCGGGTCAGGCTTGTCCTTCTGACAGAACATTGGATGTTGTAAGGTCGCAAAAATGAGGCAAGGACTATGTTTTCTCCTCTTTCAGAACCCCCGTGGCCCTGGGCACAATGTCTTACAAGTAAAAAGTGCTAAGACATGTTCGCTGATGTGTTCACTGATTAAAGTGCCAATCTGCCGTCACTGATGGATTGTGCTTCCCCACCCACAACTCTGGGGCTTAAGAAAAAGAAAGGGGGGTGGCAATCACAAAACTCCTGGCTCTGCCACTTACCACCTATGTGAATCTGGACAAGTTAACTTCTCGGTGACTTTTCGTGGTCTGGTAAAATGGAAATGATTAACAATATTACCTGCCTCATGGGGTTGTTGTGAGACCTAAGCGCATAGCAAATGCTCAGCAAGTGTCAGCTATTACCACCATTATGAGGGTTAGAGATAATATACGACAAGTGTTCAGAACGTGGGAATGTATTATCAGGTGTTCTGGTTCTCCATTCTCTAGAACCCAGACAGATCTTTCCAGAGAAGTCTCTTTCCCTTTTGGTTTGCTCATACTCAGCCCTGAAGTAATGGCTGTTTACTGAACTAACCAAATCGCAAGGTTTCTACCCAGACCCCTCTCTCCAAGTGGTATTAAAACCAGATGACATATGCAGATTGTCGTCACATTGGCCCCTCTGCCTGACTCAGGGCGCTGTCCTTCATCACCTCCCTCCTGGTCCAGTTCACTACAATTTACGTTAATGAGCATTTACAGAGCACTGCTGCATGCCAGGTGCTGCGCTGACCCTGGAGGTTCAAGGCGAAATAAGTAGCTTATCCCAGGAGACTCCCAGCCTCCCAGCTCCCTCCCATTTAACCTGGTCCCCCGCACCCTCTCCTCGTACATAAAGGCCCCAGGGGGAGCGGAAAGGAGCAGCTGTAGCTATGAATTCCCATCCCTCCTTTGATGACCTGGGCTGAGTCCCTTACCCTCCTAAACTATCAGTTTCTGCTCCATAAATTTAAAAAAAGAGGGGTGGTAGTGGTGTTGATTTTGATCACAGGTAAGCATCCCCTCTTGCAAGAAGGACAATTTAGAAAAAAATTAATGTTTATGGGAAACATTAAAATGAAAACAGCTTGAGTCTTATGGTGTAGGAGTTGTAGGTGAGTGACAATACTTTGAAAACCAGAATGTGATCTACAATGCCTGTTTCTTGACCTCAATAGGATGGCCATTAGGTAAAGTCCGCAAAGCGACTTTGCCATCAGGTTAGGCTACTGTGTGCAATCACTTCGGTGGTTGTAGGGGAGTGGAGTTGAATATGTCGGGAGACAATTTTCTAGGAGTTTCTTGGCTTATGCACATCTTGTGAGTGAGGCACTATCTGCCCTTTCGTTTTAGACTATCTTTTTAAGGATACTTGTACAGTGAACAGCTTTGGAAGACAGAGAGTGTCTCCTCCAGAACAGAGGGCAGACGGGCTTACTGACCAGTATGAATGATTCAGTTCCCTAAGCTCAGAGTTCTTCTCCAGTAACACAGCTCACTCTGTGCGCAGGGATCTGGCCCTCCTCACGCTGCCCTGGGGGAATGGGGAATTGGTTTTCAGGGAACTGGTGTCAATACCAATGCTGTCACTGCTACTACTGCTGTAATACTCTGTCCTTTGTCTCTGGCACATGTGCCCTCATGTCATCTGCCGGCATTCATGATGCTATAGCATGATAACTTGTTAGCTTTAAAGTAAAGTAAAATCCCAAACCCCTACAGTTCTTAATAGTTAGCCTACCATCTATGGTCAATCTAGGAGGGGAAAGGAAAGTTGAATGGACTCTACTTGTTCTTGTATTGGCTAAAGATGGGTAAGTGGCCTTTTGGTAATGGAGCCTTGTCTAACTCAAAGCTCTATTGGGTTAGAACCATACCCCTACTCTGTGTTCTCAAAAAGAGAGGCCCAGAAGATGAACAGAGACACCCCCACACTAAACTGCTTTGTAACTCATGATTAAGATGGCTCACCTGCAGGGGCTTCCTAGAGCAGCCAACTAGCAAATGCCTTCTGAAGGTGCTAACTGAGGGAACATTTAGTTCAAGAAGTTGAATCCAGATGGAATTTTCCCAATTTCACACTGGGACATAGATTACAAGTGTCCTGACCTCTGTCCCAGCCTGTCTGGGTCTCAGGAACTTTTGAGGAAACCAAATGATCAGGCTTTGGACAGGCGCCATTTGGAAGCCCCAGCCTTCTTGGGTTAAAAAACTCTACACAGATTTACACGGAGTTTCTCACCCCACTGGCAGAATAAACACGAGAGGTTCCCACATTTACTAGCGTGGAGATCAGGTTCACACCTCCTACCTGGGTAGCTTGTATGTTCACATTTCCTTCTCTTAAGAGCTTCCAGACGACAGCCATGTCTTCATCTGTCTCTGCAGAAGCCAAGGGAGTGATCATCACGGCAGTATAGCCAGCTTTGTTCTGATGATCCACATCGCAGACGCCTGCAAGAGAAGCAATGCGCGCTGGAATAGCTCCCAAGGGGCCAGAGGCGCGACTGTCTTCGCCTGTTCAACAGGATGCTGCTGGTTAAAATGGAATAGAGCAATCCTTTCCCAGGGGCAGAATCAATGTTTTATATTTTTAGCAGCCTTTAAAACTGGCTACTTTTCTTCACATGTTTTCTGAGGCTATGCAGCAAGGAAGTTCTGCAGCAGAATCAGACATGGCCAAAGGGGCCAATGACCCGCCTTGGGATCACAGACATTATTCCCATTTTACAGATGAGGACACTGGAGGTCAGTGAACCTACGTAAACTGCTGAAGCGAAGGTGCAGTGGGACCAGGATGCGGGTCTGCCTGGCTCTAGAGCCCACGGCTCAGCTGGCCATGTATGCCCACAGCTGTGCATTTTAAGCTTCACTCTTTGTTTGTGAGTCACTCTTAAACTGGTGGCTGTGTTTGTATATCCTTTACGAGGCCTAGGAATGTGCCGTCCAATGTACAAGGGGGCATGAAAAATGCCACAGGATAAATATGGAAAAGCTTTAGGAACAACAATCTCACTTGAAAAACAGAGGGGGGAAAACTCTGTAATATTTTATGCTAAAACAATTAAGAATATACATTTCATAATAATAAAAAAATGGCTTATTTTGAAGATGAAGTATTAAATGAGAATTCAAAAGAAACTTGTGTAGCCCTGGAAATAGGCATTCGCATCCTTCTCCACTAAAGGAGATAGATTATCAGCTTGTTATCTGTTGTATAGCCAATCCCACCCTTTATGGGGAAAACAAAATCTTCCTTGTACTTTTGCTTACCTGAAAAGCTTATGTGTCTCTCTTGGGCAATAACAAAACAATCTCAGGAGATCAAGTCACTTAGCCTTTCCTCTGTAAAATGGGGATAATAACAGAACGTGCCTCATAGGGTTATTGTGAAATTTAATGAATTTATATGTTTAAAGTACTTAGAACAACACCTAGCAGACAGTTAAGTGCTCAGTGAGTGCTGTTATTACTGTTATTGTTCAGAATGGTATTCCTGCCTTTATATCCTTGCTACTTTCTCTGAGCCTCAGTTTCCTCAACTGCAACATGAGAATAATAATAACCCACATCACAAGAGTATGGTGAAAAATAAATGATATAATAGAAGCAACATGGTCTATCCCAGTTCCTAGTTACAGAAGGAACTCAGAGCAGAAGAGTCCCCTCGCTGGAAAGACGTGAGTGCAAGCGTTGCCCTTCCTGGCGGGACCCAGACTGCGCTGGCGCCGCCATTTCTGACCTGTCTCCAGCAGCAGCTTGACGATGGAGAAGTTCGAGTGGGACACACTGTAGTGAAGGGCTGTGTTCCCGTTTCCATCAGCCAAGTTGACAAGCAGCTTTAGGAAGTGTGGGGAGTGAGGCTGGAGGTAGGCGGCCACCACAGCAGGACTAGACGACTTCCGGCTAGAGACGCGAAACCACTCTTGACTGATGGTATTCAAGCTTTGCTTCTGAAATAGCAAAAGATTCCAACTCCAGAAGGTTCTTTGGCCTGGGGTGCTCCAGTGGGGGGTGTTAGTTTTTACTAGGAAAAGTCAGCTTTGGATGCTCCCCCCTCTATCCCTTCAGTTCTCTCCAGCTCTCACGTGATTGACTCATGGTGGGCTCAGAGGGAGGGGGGGGGGGTGGAGGGTGCAGCAACATACTTTGAACCTGTGTGGTCGATTGCTCCTTCCCCACGTGAGGTGGAGAGCAGTGGGAGCCCAACACAGTAACTAGCACCAAGGCAGTTCACTAGGTGACAGTTTGAGTCTGCTCTAAGTTTAGGTCACATCCAACCAAGACCTTCTCTTTCACGGGCATACAGCCAGCCTTATTGACCTTAGCCCAGACTCTCCTATGTGTTTTCAATAGACGTAAATGGAAAGTCACAATATTTTACTAATGGGGAAAATGCATGCTGAGAGCTAAGACAAACAACATGACCAACTTACATTTGAAACAAAACCCAAACAGCTGCACTTGAATTATCTCTGGCTTTTAAGCGTTGCTAGGGCCTTCAGGGAAAATAGCTGAACAGCCCATGGCAGGACCCCACCATCCAGCAGAGGTGTCCAACCTTTTGGTAACTCTGGGCCACACTGGAAGGGGAGGAGTTGTTGGGCCACGTATTAAATACACAAACACTAATGAAAACTGCTGAGCAAAAACAAGGTTTTAAGTAAATATATGATTTTCCGTTGGGCTGCATTCCTAGCCATCCTGGGCTGCGTGCAGCCCACAGGCCGCAGGTTGGACGCCCCTGACAGCGTTCAGCTCCGTGGAATCACGGATGAGTAGAGCTCCGAAGCAAATGACATCAACTCTCTGCGTGACATGACCTCAGTGTTTAAAATGGAACATGTTTAGGTTATTTACCCATGGGAATGTGAGAATAAGAAATAATTTCATACTCATTTTGGAAAAAGCACTGGATTTGGAGTCACTAAACCAATGTGGCCAGGTGTAAGTTCTGGCTCAGTTGTGTGACCTTGGAAGTCATACAACCTTTTGAACTTTACTTGTCTCTTACCCACAAAATGGGGGTGTAAAAAGGGGCTGGCTCCCTAACCTCCTACGGCCCTACAGAGTGAGGTCCTTGTACAACCTGCTCTGTCTCTAAGGTAGGGTGGCAGGGGGTCTTGTGCTGTGATCCTAACCTGGATGTGGTGTCAGGTTTCCATATCCTCTGCTTTTCTGGGCAGAAACAGTGGAACCGTTTGTGGCTGAAACACTTTTTTATATAGTATCTCCTTTAGTCATGGAATCTTTAAGAGGATATGAAGAAAGATCCTAATATTAAGGAACATAGTGGGAGATTTTAAATGGAAAACTAAGAAATAGCTTAGTTCTGTAATTCATTTAAGAATAAATAACACAAGTTTTAAACAACATCCACATATATTTGTGTTTTAACAATCTAGGAAGCCAAATCAGCTAAAATAAAGTAATGGGTTGGGCTGAATCGATTGTTTTTACTTACACAGCTCTTCTGCAAAAGAGAAGAAAGTGCTTTGAAAATGCTTACAAATTTTTACGCAATGGGTCTTATCAGCTGCTCTTACAACTTGTATCTCTTGATTAAAAGTAGAACCCCACAGTTACATGTTTAGAGAGAAAAAGGATGTAGTTTCTTGCTCTTGGTCTCTTGACCCATAGGTACACTTCAAGAAAAAAGAGTAAAAACTACAAAATTAAATGCCAGGATTTGAGGGTAAGTGGACACAGGCTGCCTACTATCCTCATTTTATTAATGGGGAAACTGAGGCTCTGAGTGTTGAGCAGGCTAGCCCAATATCTCATCAATAGCGCTCCTGGGGATAGAAACCATGGTTGGCATTCCACGTGCTCTTTTCCACTCTACCCACAGTTCCCTCAAATTGCAAGGCAATTTTGAGCCTAAGCCACAAATAATTTTATAAGAGACATTCAGGATGCAATGGGTAATAGCCCGTGGTAAAAGCCTCTGAGCACCATGCCTGCTTTCTTGGCCCGGTGCTTGGCATACCCACCGTCCCACTTTCCCAGCATACTCCAGCATTTTAGGCAATAGGTAAGCACTCGGGCAAATGAGAGAACACCCAGAGGAAAGGGGTTCCTGCGTGCACACTGACACTGCTGCCTCAGGCAAGGGACCAAAGTCACCTAGTTGGAACTAACAGCTTAAACAATACAGAATCTCTACATGACAATGAAAAATCAGAGTACCAAGAGCTGGTTGGTGGTGGTCCCAGTTTCTGGCAGGTGTTGGCTCAATGCCCGGCATGCATTAAGAAATTCTTCAGAGGGTTTATATCTAAAGAAAAAAATATACATATCAGACTCCATGTTGATTAATAATAATTTTTTTAAAAAGGCTATTCTCTACCTTGACTTCCATTCTTAGCAGTTTAAACATCCACAATGGGCAACTTCCCAGGATAAGGGGTGTTTCTCAGAAATATGTGGTGAATACAGTGTCCTGGTGATGAGCTCTTCTGAAGAGAGAGTCGAGCACATTGCCCTGTTATGCTGGGGGCCCAACTGCAATTCCTGACACATTGGGCAAAGGACGGTTGTCTTTTTGACTTGGGACAAAATATTTTCCTTTTTTTTAAAAAAAAAATTTATTTATTTTTAGGGTGGGGAGGGAGAAAGAGAGAGTGAGAAACATTGATATGTGAGAGAAACCTCAATCAGTTGCCTCTCGCAGGCCCCCAACTGGGGATGTAGCCCTCAACTCAGGCATGTGTCCTGACCAGAAATTGAACCAGCAACCTTTGGTCCTTATGCTGGCGCCCAGTCCACTGAGCCACACCAGCCAGGGCTGGACCAAACATTTTCTGCCTGACTGCCTTGAAAACTTCAAAGAACCCAATAATCTATACCAGCAAATTTCTTCAAGTTATTCTTCCATGAAAGACACCATAAGTGCTAATAGAGTCAATAAAATGAAAACCAATTAAGCTAGGTGGTTGCAATGATAAACACTCTTCCTGTGTTAGTACAAGGGCCGACTGAGCATTGAGAGATCTGAACTGGGACTTAGTGGCATCGTCACCGAGAAGCCCTACTCGCTCATCATGTCCTTGCAGCGTTACCATGCTGGAGCAGCCCTGCGGACTCGCTTGACAATCAGCCAGCATTGACTGCTCATCACTCGGGCAGCCTGGCTGGGACGAATGACAATGGTGACAATGGTATTTACTATGCTTATCTCTACCATGCATTGAGAACCTACTACATTAGGTATTTTACACAGTTTTTCTCATCCAGTCCTGAGATCAAACCTATCGGGTTGCTGTTATCTACATTTTACAGATGAAGAAACTGAAGTACCTTGTCTAAAAGAATGCTGTGCATGCATAGGATTTGAATCCCGGTGTCCCCAACTCTAAAGTACTCTTTCCATCATGCCACATGACCTCCCATCATTTTAAGAGTTTCATCAGCAGAGCCAATGGGAGCGGCAGAAAAGCATGTGGGTAAAATCAGAAAAGACCTGGTCAGAGTCCCCACTCCGAGCTATGTCATTTAACTGCTCTGAGTCTCTGTTTCACACCTGTAAAGTCAATATTATAATCACTTCTACCCTGCAAGATTGTTTTTAAAATTACATAATACCCATAGAGTCCTTCCCATTTTCAGTGCTAGGTCAATGTTAGCTTTCTATGTAGAGCCCAATCGATGACAGTAAATCCCATGGAGCAGGAGTTACATCTGTTTAGTTCAGCCAGTGCACAGTGCATGGCAAAGATTAAAACCTCAGTAAACATTGGTGAAGGAATAAACAAATGAACAAATGATTGAACAGAAGAATGAATAAATGTTCCTGTCTTTTCTCAGAGGTTCAGGTGCCCCCATCTATACCCATCTGACTCACCGCTCGGCCTTGGGAAGGAGGGGTTCTTCCCCAGGTCCTCTTTCCTGGCCTGTGTCGCAGGTGCTCTCAGAGATGCTTTGTCCCCCCTTGCAGCTGGCGTGGGCATCCTTGTCCCGCCTATGTTCTGGGCCATCACATTTCTTCTCAGCCTCACTGTCAGACAAGTCCTCTGGGGAGCTGTCTTCGCCACTGGTCTCCTCACTGGAGGTGGTCTCGTAGCTGGGAAAGGAGACAGAGGTGGCTCGTTCCGTGCTTCCTGCCCAATGCCCATGTCAACATGAATGAGACCTAGGTGGGCTTTAGAGAACACCGCCCAGCTTGCTAACCACGTTCTCCATTAACTATACCTTGAGGCCTGGACAAGGGGACTCCTGGGGACCTTGGTGTCAGAGAAAAGTGTGGTTAAGAGCTCTGACTCTTAACGTCAGAGGCCATTTGGGGAGAAAAGAAAAGGAACTAAGATCTTTGCAGCAAACACACAAACAGCACATGCTCTAATTGACCAATGCATTCGGATGATCCAGACAGGCAGTCCAAGGTGTTTATGCAACCATGTGCTTCTGGAATCCTAATGCCTCCAGGAAAGGGCCCACATCTAGAGAAATGCTTCTCTTCCCCAACTCTTAGTTTTCTGAATTGCCTGACAAATCTGCCTGTCTTTGGGTGATTGTGAGGCTTCCCTTTAGCCCCTTGTTCTAGTCCAGCTTACACCTAACAAAGAAGGAACTGTCTCTGTCTACTCCCAGTTGGGGTACTTGAACCCAGCGTTTGCCTTTCTGAGCTGCAGCCTGTTTCAGCTATTGCTTGAAGCAAGTGGCACGGGCCCCCACTTCACTCGTGGTCCTCCCTCTCCAGCTATAATCCTTATGTTCAATTAGATTCAACCCCACTGAGGTGGGAGACCAGGGGCCATGGGGGAAAGTCCTGCAAGATCTATTGGTTCCTCTGCTGAGGTCAATAGGAGACTTCCAATGGATGTAGATTTGGGGCTTTAGGGCCACGGGACACTGCCACAGAGACCACGGGAGCCCAGCGGCCACAGCTTCCACTGAACCCCCTCATGCCTGTTCTCTGAACGAGAGCCCCTATGTTCACTGCATTTGCAAACCCGGCCTGTTTTTCGGTATGCTCATATTCTGTCTTGTTTAAACCCAAGATATTTCCTCCACTGTTGTGATTGGAACAACTTTTTGCTTTTGCGATTGAGAGAATAGGGGATATAACAAGCAGTTCACCAAGCAGTTCTGGTCTTAAAATTGTTTCCATAAAAACTTCACCTGGAAGTTCATTCATTCAACAGAAATTTATTGAGCACTGACTATGTGCCAGGCACTGTTCTAAATGCTACACTGAAGTCCCTGTCCTAAATCAGCTTATATTCTAATAGGGAGAGGCAGAAAATAAGCATGCGAACAATATATTCAGATAGTAAATACTGAACATTGAATAAAACAATAAAGGACCGCGGGGCAGAGTGATGGGAGGAGCGGCTCCTTTAATTAGAGCAGAAGTTTCTAACCTCAGCTGCTCATTAGAATCACTTGAGAGTGTTTAAAATTCCCGGTACCTGTACTACACTCCAGGCTAATTAAACTGGCGTCTTTGGGGAGGGGACCCAGGCATTGCTATTTTTTAAGGTTCCCCCAGGACTTCCAAGGTGCAGCCAAGGTTGAAAACCACTGCGCTAGAGTGAAGAATACTGAGTCCTGACAAATATCTGGGAAAGGAGCACTTTAAGCCTTCAGCGGGCGGGGGGAGCGGGTTGACAGCAGATGCAGAGGCCCCTGAGATGGGCCTGACTCGGCACATTTGAAAGAGGAAAGACAGGAGCCAGCAGCCAGGGGCCTGCTTTAGACTTTAAGATTAAGTTGATCTTCCTTTTCTTGGTGAAACCTCAACACAAAATGGATTCTCCTCAGGCTACAGTGTCTGACATTAGGAGGAATGGGAATAGCAACTCTCCTATGACCCCATTTCATCTGCTATATTTCCCTCACCGAATATGCAACTGTAATGTCACTGGTATTTGAATCTGGTGCCTTCCTTCTGGTCTGACCCAAATTATTAGGGGTTCTGACCTCTTCTGGACTCCTGAGCACTGCCAGCCCCCAGGTCCCCCCGCCCCGGCCCCCCGCCCCCCCATCCCGTCCCCGGCTGGACCAGGGGCCCCCTTTGGGTTTCCCCATCATACTACACTTCCTTTCTATCAGAACTCATCTCGTCATAACAGCACTTTCTCTTTACTTCCTGCACTATCTCTGCCCAGGTCCAAACTGGGAGATAAAGGCAGGGACAACGATTTACTGGACATTTTTGTCCCCACCACCTAAGACATCATTGGCGTTTCATAAATGTTTGTTGAATGACTGATTTAGAAAATACTCTAAATCTGATGATTTATTCTCTAGAATATATAAGGTTTGGTTCCTGTTCTGAGTCAGTAGACATTGGTTGTTTTTCTTCATCTTAAAAAATACTGGTTTGGTTTGCAGTAAGTTAGTAAAAGGAAGAAAAAATATTAAATGGATGAAATTTGAAGTTCAAATTAAGAGCTCGTCCTAGTTTTAGTGCTGTGGTTCCGATTACATGTCTTCCTTAAAGGGCCCATGTGCCTCCTAAACTCCCAGAAGCCACTGAAATCCTGGCCCCGGGGGACACCAAAGCTAAGACATATTAAAAGCACAGGATCCAACAGACCACTATAGCTGGCAAGGAGCCAAACACATGCAAACCCAAGATGCAGTTTTAAAGGGCCGTTGAGATTAATTCCCTTGAAGAGGAATGAAAACCAGATGCTTTCCCCTAGGAAAAGAGAGCGCTAAGGACAACACAGGAATAGGTAGCATGGAGGGCAGTCTGGGCTTCATGAGCGATGCTTACCCACCGTTAACCCCAACAAACTGAAGGTTCTTTTTGGTCCCATTACCTCCTGCACGGAAGCCATAGTCTTTCTTTTTCATTATGGATTTAAGGCTGGTCGACGGGGAGATCTCTAGGCAGACATAACATCACAGGTTAGAATGATCTCGGAGATGCCCCAGAATGCAGCAAAACCAAGACTCTTGCTTTGAGAGGACACAGATTGAGGGTGTGTGAAGAGGTAGAAAGGGAGAGGGAACTAGATAGTGTCAATCAAATCTTTTGAGGGCACCCTGGCTGGTGTAGCTCGATGGATTGACCACTGGCCTGAGAACCAAAAGGCTGCTGGTTCAATTCCCAGTCAGGGCATATTCCTGGATTGCAGGCCAGGTCCCCAGTTGGGCACATGCAAGAGGCAACTGATAGATGTTTCTCTCGCACATTGACGTTTCTCTACTTTTCTTTCTCCCTCCCTTCCTCCCCTCTCTCTTAAAAAAAAAAAACAGTAAATAAATAAAATCTTAAAAGTATATTTTGAGGGTCTGTGAGGAGGCCTAGCCTTCTGGTCGGTGCCAGCCAAACTGTCCCTGGCCACAAAGCTCCTCTCTGTGTGGATGACAGTGGGAAAACTCTTTCAGAAGGAGCCGTGAGCTGTGGGTGCCATTCTTGTCCCTATCTTACAGCTGGCAAATCTGAGTTTCAGCCTCGCTCAGTGAATGGCAGAGAAGGAGTTAGTCTTAAGCATAGAACTTCGTTCACGTGACCCTGGTCCCGCCTCGGCCATTGACCCTTTGTGATGTGGAGTAGGCACAGGAGACACATGAGCAAGAGCACAAGTCTTTGGCTGTGCTCAAAAGTACAGGATGCATTTCCTAATGGGCAAGATTAGAACTAGCACAAAATAATGAGAAAGCAGGCAATTTGTGATCTGCAGCAGGAAGCACACTCGAACACTACTCATTGAGCAAAGCAAAATATGGTTCCACTTTACTCAACAGTGTATGGTCTGTTACAAGGGGCAGTGCTGTGCGGCCAAAGGGTCGACTTCCACATGTGAGTATCACTCAATCTCCCACCCCCTCTCTGCGCTGCCCACACATGCAATGTTCAGGGAAATATTTCAGATCTCGACATAATATTCCTTCAAAACTAGGCTAGAGAAAACCTCTAATGTGCAAGAATCAGAGAGGATCTCAGGACTGCAAAAACTCAGGAAGCAGCGAAGGGAGGCTGAGGCTTAGAGCACATACAGCCAGGGTCATTGTTCACCCTAGACCTTGCCTTTGTGCAATGCAAGTAAGAAACAGGCGCCCCTCTGGGTGGATACAGTGCTGCACGCGTGGCAATTGAAGAGGTAAGGAGTGGGCTGGATTTAAGCTCCTCCCTGGCTGGCATCTCTGTGCCCTGTGCTGTATCTGGACAGCCGTACACGGTGGCCCTGCACTCAACCCTAACCTTAGTGCAAGGACCCGAGAAGGAGCACAGAGCCTCTACTGTTACAGAGATTAGTTTTTATTACACTGGGTTCCTGGAGGTGCTTAAATCTTTAAAAAACATATGCATGCAATTAAAACCCCTTCTCCCCTTTGACTCGTCCCATAAAGAAGAAATGGTTCCCTGTCTCAGGCACCGGTATTTACCCATTGGCGGTGGGGGGCAGGAGGCGGGCGGGGACTCCTTCTGCGGTGGCGCTTGGGCTGAGTAGGCAGACAGCAGCAGGTTGAGGGAGCTCAGGAGCTGGCGCTGGATGCTGCTGAGTTTGGAGGCGGGCTGCTTGATGGCGCTGGCCAGCTCTGGGTACCCGTGCTCCAGGCAGCTCCACTGTTCCTGCAGGAGCTCCTGGATCTTTTTAACATATTGCCCAATGGTGGCATCTGTGGGCGAGCTTGGTGGCCTTCCCGTGCCCTCCTTCCCTGGGAGCTCTGAACTGGCCTCCTCCTTCCCTGGTAGGGGAGCCTTTATGTCGCTGCTCCTCGAAGAGCCCCCTGCTCCCCCGCCCAGGCCCTCCGCTCCCACCTGAGGGTCTCCCTCCTGTTCAGAGCCTCCTTCTTCAATCCTGAGCTCAGTGGAGAGGCAGCTTGGTAAAGGAGAGATGAGGACCGCCTCGGGGCCCTCTGGCAGTGACAGCTGGGATGGTGGCACGGACTCTACTGGGCTCTGGTCCCCCTGTGTGTGACTGTCTGGCCCCCATAGGAGGTCATTCTCTTCTCCTCTGGCCCTCCAACATTCAGATGCCATGCTGCTCAGAAGGTTGACACCAACGCTCTTGTCACACAACTCCCTGGCCGAGAGTGTGTGGAGAGGGTCGGTGTTGACGGTGGCATCAGTTTGGCCCTGAGCGTCTTTGGTGTTCCGGTGGCTAAGCTCTCCCGCCAGCTGAGCTACAGTGCACTCCAGCTCTTGGATCCTCTGCCCCTTAGCCTTGATTTCTTCCTCCTGCTCTCGGAGGGCAGCTCTGACCTGGGCTAGCTCCTCAGTTTTTCCAGACAATGCTCCTTCAAGGTCCAAGAGCTGCTGCTTCAGGCTGGAGACGCTGCCAGGATCGAGGGTGGCAAGGCCCAGGCTTTCCTCTGTGACCCGGATGCCAATGCTTCTCACGTCCACTGCCACCGGTGGCGGAGGTGGGATCTCACTGATGTTGAGCTCGATTTCTTCCAGGAGGAGCTCATTCTCGGGGATGGGTGATGGCAGAGGTGGGGGGCTTGGTGTTGGGGAGCCAGAGGCAAACACCACCTCTGCTTCTCTGGTTTTATGCTCGTCTTTTGCATCCTCTAAAACTACAAGTGCATTCTGGGATGAGAAGGGAGGGCTAGAGAGAGAGGGGGCATGTGGAGCCTCTTCTTTACCCACCGAAGGCCCCGTCATCTCCCGGGCCAGCTCTGGAATCCCCGGCACCGCGTCTCCGATCTCTTTGACTTTTGATTGGGTCGCTGCTCGTGAGGTGCAGTTGGAAACACCTGCAAATCCTTCCGCGGGGCCAAAAGTGCCCTCACACACACTGCCTTCTCCTAGGAGTGGAGGCAGGGCGGGAGGCGTGGGGGGACCTGAGTTGAGGCTGGAGTCGTCTGGGGGCCTGTTTTGCAGCAGGGTGGCTGGCATGCTGCATGCTCTCAGAAGCTGGGGCCGCCCGCTTCCGGAGGCGAGCTCAGCCTCCCCGGGAGCCGCAGCCTCCAGCTGTCTGGCAGTCTCGGCCAGCAGGGCCCTCCGGTGGTAGCTCCCCTCGCCCCCGCGGGTGGAGGCTTGGGGGTGATCGCCGAGCGGCAGTGACTGGGTTCGCTCCGCTGTTCCCAGCGACACCTTCCTGGACACCAGTGGGGACCAGTTTGGGTGGGGAAGAGCAGCATGCAAACGAGCCCCGCTGTCGGGAAGGCTGAAGTTTCGGGGCAAAGTGCTGAACTTGGCCTGCTTGGCCCTTCTGTGGATAGGAATCCTTTTGATGGTGTTTCCCTTCTCAATGTCATCCACATACTTGAGGAAGTCCAGGTCTAAATGAAAGCCATATGGAGTCTCCACGGAGTAAGGGTGGCTCTTTGGAGGGTCTTTCTCCTCATCCCCCTGAGAGGACTGGTCTTTGGCTAGAAGGCATAAGACATGTAAAAAAAAACAAAAAACAAAAAAAAAAAACAAAAACAAAAAAACAAAACAAAAAACCAAAAACGAGCCCAACGTTAGTAAAAATTATAGGTGGTGAGGCCTAATATCTGTGATTTTGACTTCTTTTAAATGTTCCAGCCTCTAAATTATGCTGAGAGTCTCACAGTCTTTTGGCTGTGCTAAGAAACCATGCTATTAAATCAATGTGTACTTAGCCAAAGTCTGCGAGGAAATAGATAAAAGAAATAGTTTCCAATTTGCAGCAGGTCATCTCAGTTACTACTGGGGAATCTGCCTGCAGACCAGCCAAATAAAGATCACGCTGTTTTACTGGGTCTGAGTCATGTAATTGCTGAGCTGAAGTGGCCAGGAGTTTGCCATCAGGGTACTAACTGGCGATTATTACTAGGGAAAGATTCAAAGGGTGAGATATATAATGGTTTCGACATTAAAAAAAAAAAAAAACCTTGCATTAATCCAACAGGTACTAGTAAATCTTGGTAAAGCCAGAGACAACAAGGAGCTATGCCTTCTACGTTTTTACCTTAGATGCCCAAGCCTCTAGGTACATGAATATCAGAAAGAACAGAAATGGAATTACGCACAGCCCATCCTCTTTCTCACCTGAAAATGTCTTAGTGCTTAGCAAACATGAATTTCACTTTCAAACCTCATGCCAAGGAAGGAAATACCACATTTTTCACAGCCTGGAAATAAGGTGGTGAGGGAAAAGTGACAATTAATGTCAAAAGGGATATTCACGCCCTGACTGGTGTAGCTGAGTTGGTTGGGCATCATCCTGCAAAGCCAAAGGTCACTGGTTTGATTCCAGGTCAGGGAACCTGCCTGGGCTGCGGGTTTGGTCCTGGTCAGGGCGTAACCTGTAGACGTTCTTCTCTTGCATTGCTGTTTTTCTCCCTCTCTTTCTCCCTCCCTTCTCCTCTCTCTAAAAATAAATAAATAAAATCTTTTTCAAAAGGTTGGGGAGAGACATGGGCACACATCCTCTTAGAAATGGGGGACTCATGACTTTTCAGGGCAGCTCAAATTATCAAGGGACATCAGAAATTTTTCCATAACATCAAAGCAGTGACTTCTAACAGAAGTCACTGAGAACAAGTCAGTTTTTCAAGTATTTGAATCCATAGGGATTTGTCCCCAAGTAGTTTCTTCTTTTGGTGAAATAGTCTTTGTCCCTTTGATGTTCCTCATGCGACACCTCTTATCTCTGTGGCATTCTTCTCAACATGCTCTGAGATACTGAGCTCAGGAGAGGACCTTTGTGGAAAGCTCAGAGGCCAAGAATACATACTCGGGAGCCTGACCTACATTTCAGCGCTGTGACCTTGGGGAAATTACTTAGCCTCCCTGTGTCTCACCATCTATTAGCTGGGAATAATAGGTAAATGAGCTCATTGTGAGGGCTGATTAATTGATACACACAAAGTGCTTAAAACAATGCCTATCGTATGATAATATATTATAGATAATAGTTATCTTTGTGGAAGCCTCGGATATAGAGAAGTGAAGTCCCACAATGGAGGCTGATTTGCTGGGTACACAGAGACCTCTGCAAATTCTTCGTGACTGACTGACTGCTTAGTTGTAAGAGTAATAGGCCTTGGGGGCAAAATTACAAAATAGCCATAATCAATTCACTTACCTCAACCACTAGTTATTGAGCACCTCTGTGTTGGTTGATGAGCTAGATCCTAAGGACACAGAGATAAATCAGGCATAGCTGTGCCCTCAAAAAACACATGGCCAAGTAGCTAGGAACACCAACAGGTACACTGCAGTGTGTCACGGATGGTAACAGATACACGCGTAAGGAGCAGCCTTCCCTCCTGATTTATTTTTCCAGGTTTTCTGGGATCATTTTCTTAAACTCAGAGGTTAATTCTGCTTTGGTAGAAAAAAGATGACTTCACGAACGTGACATACAGGGTCCTGCAGAAGTAACGCCATTGAGTGTGGTTGGTAGGGTACGTGAGTGTCTCGCACAAGATGGACAACAATCTGAACACTTCACCTAAAATGCCATATGGTGTGCTTGAGTATGATATTGTTATATTACAGAATTACATGCTTATGATTTTGTAATACAAGATTTTGTAATAAAACAGGGGCGTTATTTGTGCTGGACCTTGTATGACTGGCGTTAAATGAACAAGTAGCCATTTGCCAGAACAAGAGGGTGAAAGACATTGTAGCTGTTAATCTCCAACACGGTTACCCTCTCTAGACAGGCAAGGGACTCCCACATTGAGAGGTGAGGTCTATTTCTCCACCCATCTGAATCTGGGCTGGCCCGTAACTGCTTTAACAAAACAAACAAACAAACAAAACAAAAACAAACAAACAAAAAAAGGCATAACTGATGCTGACAGAGTTCTAAGACTAGGCCATAAGAATCCTGTACATCCTGCCCAGGTCACTTAGAATTCACTCTCTGTGAAAAGCCAGATGCCATGTAAGGTGTCCAACTTCCCTGAAATGGCCATGCTGTGGGGAAGCCCAAGTAGCCCCCTAGAGAGATCATGTAGAGACAGGGAGAGAGATACCTTGCCAGCCTGTGCTGGTCTAGCCATCCTGGCCCAGGGTCCAGGCATGAATATAAGAGCCATCAGATGACTCTGGCCTCAGCCATCATCTGACTTCAGTGGCAGGAGGGAACCCAGGAGAACCATTCAACTGAGCCCGTGCTAATAGTACATGATTGTTTTAAGCCACTAAGTTTGGAGGTGGTTTGTTATGCAACAATAGATAGCCAGGGTAGATTCTACATATATGTCAGAGGATGTACAAAGGCACGGAGGTGTGAAATTCCACAGTAATTCAGGGTTGATGTGGCTGCAACTTAAAGCGTGGTAGAGAAAAAGACAAACTTGGAAAGATTGGCAAGCACCAACAAGCTTTGACCTTACTCTCTGGGTAATGGGAGTTACTGAAGGGTTTTACACAAGGAAGTGACTTGGTCAAATGTGATTGAACACAGAACATTCTTGCAGAAGATGAGATGAAGGACAAACCAGAGGCCTGAAGACCAGTTAGGAGGCTGCTGACACAGAGAAGGTGAGAGAAGCTAAAGGCAAGGGAGGGAAAGGGGCAGGCTAAAGAAAAGGTGCAAATGATAGTTTACCTGGGGCACATTTTGGGCTGCTTTTCCCCTAAGGGTGAAAACATATTGGGGTGGGGTGATGAGCTCTTTCCACTTGCCTGTCTGATTTCTCCTTCTGGCAGGTGTCACATGTTTGTGAGGTGGCCCTCTGTGCTTAGGGAAGTACCGTTATCTCCAAAGAACTAAACAAAGCCGACAGACACCTGAAGGCTGAACAGATGAACACTGACCCAATCGAGCCTACCAGCCTCAGTGCTAAGTAAAGGTGCGGGGCCTGTGGGCAACTGTGTCACCGCCACAGCAGGGAACAGAATAAAGCGCTGGTGCTGGTACCCAGGATGGCCCTTGTTGGGTTCTAGAGCTTCTCTGGCAGATATCTGGAATCCAGGCGCATGAGGAGTGAACCGTATTCCAGCATCTAAAACGCTCTAAGTAAGTTCACATTTACCAACACATTTTTTTTTTTCTACCAACCTGATTTTCTCCAAAGAGGCACGCTGGTAGTTTCAGTAAATGAGAGCAATTGCTCTCTGTTGGTTTTCCAGGCTGCACTCTGCAACGTTCTTAGGCCTACTGATTCACAGAGCGGCCTCCTGGATTACAGGGACAGGCCAAATCAGAGAGGAGATATTTGTCTAAAATTAAGTGGAGAGTAGATTTACGACCCAGAAGGCAAAGAACTGTCCCAAGGAGAGGCTGCATTATTTATTTATCTTCTTTTTGCCTCAACTCAGTAGAAATGCAGTAATTTACCCAGTGGCCTCTGGGAGCAGGTCCAGAGCACAAACACAATAATAGAATCAAGTAAGAAACAGGAGACTCAAAGACAAAATCTTCCATGAAGGAGAGTGCAGGGGACCAAGGAGTCCGTGAGCCTGGGCAGCTATCCAGCATGATGGGTTAATAGGTGCTTCCCTAAGCTGGTACTCAGGGGTGTCCCTAAGACACAAGAACCCAGACACACACAGACATACACACACCCAGTGATCCACTGTGCTGCTGTGCCTGCCACCTGCCACTCTGTGTTCCTTCTCTTTCTCCCAGCGCAAGGGAAATGCTGGGCCTTGAGTGAGGGAGTTTGATCTGAGCTGCTGGGAGACCTATGCTCACATTAAGCTCTGCTCCTCTTAATTCTATCTGGTGACAGGTATGCAGGAGCTCAGAATTCCGGGCATTTGGCCAGGGTAAGAGTTAATTAGGAGACTGTCTCTGCTTAGAATGAACCTCAGATCAAATATACCAACACATGGCCAAACGGGTTGGATTTGAACCCTGGTTCTGTCATCTCCTATCTCTGGAATTCTGGATAATTATTTAGTTTCCCCATGCCTCAGTTTCCCCATTTGTACCATGGCGATACTAATGCCTAACTCACAGAGGTGTAGTGACTGTTAGCTCTAATGCAGTAGGGAACATGGCGCAGGTACTCCATAAAGGGGCCAGAAGGCAAGGGGGCGGGGCGGGGGCGAGGAGGACTGACCAAAAATGTGCTCTCTCCTTGAAATATTTAATTCTGTGTTAGGACTATGGCCTCAGGAGGAAATTAGAGTCCAAGAAAATAATTCTGAAGAAACTGGAAAAATGAGTCCGGGAGAAGAAAAAAGGTAAGATATATGAGGCTCAGAGCTCCCTAAAATGCCTACAGAGTCTTGATCTGCAAGCACACCAGATAGTTAGACCCCCAGGAAGGACCTACGAATAGTCATGAGCCTGAGTTACACACAGACACAAGGAAGGACATTAGAAAGGGACAAGGAAAGAAGTGAGGTGCCACAGTCATTATCTTGAGGGACAAAGAGAAGTTTGGTGGGTAAGCAAGCCACTCAGAGGCACTCAAAGTGAGGAATAAAAAGAAGTCCAAAAGCCTATACTCAGTTTCTGAAGAAAATGGAAAAAACAGAAACTAAGGAAGTGGCCAAAAAGAGCTGGAAAGAAGGGGAATGAAATGAATCTCTTCAAAAGGCTAAGACAGAGACGGAAGGTTTCCCTCTTCTGCCTTCCTTTTGTGAGCTGTGTGTGCCGAAGGGAGGCGTGCCTTTCTTGAGCTCGAGGTGGTTCATCACGAGGAAAGCAGCAGTTCGAGGATGCTGAGCAGGGACAAAGAGGCGGGCAAGAATGACAGGCCCCCGGGGCATGCAGGGAATTAGCTGGTGTTCTGTGGGACCATTTCCAGGGATGCACTGAAAAGGCAGCTCTCTGGGGAGAAAGGCAGACTCTTGAAACATTTGGTGACTGCATTTGGAAGGAAGGAAGGAGCAGGGCTGGAGCTGCTGTCTGGTCCCTAAGTCCTGTTGCCAAGGAAGGGCCATGTGATTCAAGGATGATTACAGGCTCCCCTGTTTCCTGACATTTCATGATCTGGAAAAAGTATTTCATTAGAAATCAGATCATCAGAATCTAGTCTGTGACCCTTGGCTAGTGTTGGGGGGAGTTTTAGGGGAATGATACATTCGTTGTGCTAAATAGTATTACTCAACAGCCTTACTTGCATTATCTCATTTAGTTCTTTACCAACCCTGTGAAGTAGGTACTAATACCTGCTTGTGGACAAGATGCCATAGACTGTTTACAAAAATAGCTACAATTACATAAATTCTACACTAACCCTGGGCTTAGTTAACCTTGTGATTTGCTTTTGCCAGTAGGTCAACAGGAAATGTGACATATGTAGAGACTTGAAAATCACTTGCACACTGGGATCTGTTCTTGCAGTGCTTAGGACCATTCCGCCACCATATGGACAAGCTCTGTCTCCTGCGTCCGCAGCTAGCCTGCTGGACAAGAGAGATACTTGACCAGATCATCACCAATGCACCATGTGATATGGAGTCATATCAACCGCCAGACATGTGAGTGTGGCTGTTCTAAACTGTCAGCCAAGAAACCCAGAAGACCACAACCTCGTGAGCCCAGCCAAGTAGCCAAGCTGACCCAGACCAGAATAAGGGCCCAGCCAAACCTACAGAAGTTTTTTTAAGAAATAATAACTATTTTTAAATCATTATATTTTTGAATGGTTTGATTACACAGCAAAGCTAACTGATACATGTGGAAAATGAGGCTGAGAGAAGTTAAATGACTTGGAGACTCACACAGGTATGAGTTTTACCATATTGTGCCTCTCTCTTAGACTTCAAGTTCCTCATCTCTAAAATGAGGGCAATGAGTGAGAGCATCCTGCTCCCCTCTTGGTGCTTGGAAGAGATGAGGACCCACTTCGAAAATTACACAAGTTGGATATAAACATAAGGCTTGATTCCCACTCCCTACCACCCTCTCTTACTCATACCTGAAACACATGGTCTGGGCCTCCCAACCGCCTGCCTGTAGACCTCCCCTCGGCTCTTTCCAGCATTTATAGTAACAATCCCTTTCCAAAGCAAATGCTCACATTAGACCAAGGAATACAAAGCAGTCTGCCTACCATCTGTCTTCTCCATCTTAGGAAATGCTGACCGTTGTCTCTTAGGCACTCTTCATCCGATCTGTCTGTGAAATTTGCCGGACAGTTCTGAAGGAAGGAAGGATAGAAAAGTGGATAGTCGCATTAGAGTTAGGATAAGTATGGAGGGAACATAGCACCAGAGAAAGTAATGACCATCATTGCCTTTCTCCCAGAGGTTCCCATGAGCTCATAGTCCCACAAGGAAGGTGGTTAAAAGCCTGGATGCACTCCCGGGGTCCAGTCCTGGGTGTGCCTTCCTGGGACTTCAGCAATGGTTAACACCAAAGGAGGCATTTGGTCACCTGTGTACTTGGCAGATGAGTAAATTGAGGCTCAGAAGATAATTGCTTGATGCAAGACCTCTTGGCGTATGAGTGAAGGAGCTGGGACCAGACCCAGGACTCTGATAACCAGCACATTGTTCTTTGCATAAGCTGAAATCTATTCACCCCATCACAGTTCATAATTATCTATTTTGTTAAAAAGCTGGAATCAAAGTACCAACTAATGATCTATGACCTCCCAATCAGATTCAAGACAAAGATGAGATAATTGCAAGTACTGACTAGGAGCTGATACTTAGAGGAGATTTCCAACCATGGGCAGAACAAGGGGCCAAAAGACATCAATAACTATTCAAGCAACATACTGTCCTGACTCTGAATTAGGGTACCTTGAGGTTTGGTCATAAATTTCCCCAAAGTTTTAATCCATTCCCAGGACTCTGTTTTCCAATGGTAAACAACCTGCCTTCTGCCCCCATTACAATAAATCACCCAAGAAATTGGGGTTTTTTTGGTGATTGTAACTCCACACACACTGTCATAATGAATTATCTGTGGCACATCAGCAGTGGAAGCTGTGTGTTTTAGGAATTTCAATGTGCTCCGCAATGAACTCAGGAGAGAAAAGTATGCCAGGGAAGAGGAGGACTGGGGAAAACTGGGAGTGAGAGAAGGAGATGGGGTGGCTCCCAGCAACCCAGGATGAAACACAGGGGAACGAACCAGTAAACTGGAGAAGAAGGCTGGGAATCTTCAGGCCTGCCAACAGGAGGAAGCCTGAAGTTTGTGTGACAGAGAGTTTTGTGTATCCTCGTCTGCGAGCACCGCTATTGCCCCCGATGCCATCGCCTTGCTCCTGCCTTGGCTCCTCTAAAACGCTCCACACAGCGGCCAGAAGGCCTTTCCCTAAGCAGGTGGGACAGAGCCCAGAAGGGCAGGCAGAGTTTCTGCAGGCAAAGGATTCCCTGCAGAAGGAGCACCGACATTGCGCGCCTCGCTTAGCTTTGAGGCAACAAGTACTTGAGTCTGGGGGCTGCCTAGAGCTGGAGTTGGGGGATAAGGGGGTTCTAACCTGGGGTGAGGGAGGGTCACCATTGTTAAAAAGGAAAGGTTCTGAAAAAGCATAAGTGTTCATTAACAGACGAACGGATAAAGAAAATGTGGTATATATATACACAGCGGAATAGTGTTCAGCTATAAAAAGAAGAAAATCTTGCCATTTGTGACAACATGGATGGACCTTGAGGGCATTACGCTAAATTAAATAAATCACACAGAAGAAGATGAATATTGTATGCTCTCATTTATACGTAGAATCTAAAGAACAACACAACAACAAAAACAAGCTCATAGATACAGAGAACAGATCGGTGGTTGCCAAGGGGTAGGGAACAGGTGAAATGGGTAAAGGGCTCAAAAAGTACGAACTTTCAGTTATAAGATAAATAAGTCCTAGGGATATAAGTTACAGCACGGTGACTATAGTTAAAAATATTGTATATTTGAAAGTTGCTAAGACAGTAGATCTTAAAGTTCTCATCATGAGAAAAAAAATTATAACCCTGGGTGATGGAAGCTAACTAAGTTTACTGAGGTAATGATTTTGCAATGTACACATGTATCAAATTGTTATGTTATATGCCTAAAACTAATACAATGTGTGCTGTCAACTGCATCTCAATTTTAAAGATAACTATAATTTTGTATTGTGATAACTATAATTTTTAAAAAAATAAAAGAGAGAAAAGGTTCCCACGCAGAGGACACTGCGACCGATCTCAGTGCCGCAGGGTGGGGGGCAGGAGAGGCTCAGCAGCTTCCAGGCAAGGCCTGCGGGAGAGAAGGGTGAGTATGCCAACCAAAGCTGGGCCCCTCAGCCTGCCTCCCCATCACCTCGTCCTCTCCTGCCTCTCCTGTTCTCCTCTTCCTCCTTCCGCTCAAATTACTCAGCAACAGGTAGAACCTGGAGCACTTGACGTAATGAGATTCTCTCATGCAATCTGTACCCTAACCCCAAGAGGATTACTGTTGTCCCGTTTTCAGATAGGGAGACTGAGGCTGAGAGTTCACAGGCCTGTCCAAAGTCACAAAACACGTGAGTATTAGAGCAGAATTTTACTCTCAAGTCTAGCTGACTTCAAGCCTGTGCGGGGAACAGAAGTGATTTGCCAACATTTGCCCACCCCTATAAGCCAGCCTGATGCTGGGACTGATCCCTAGCTCTCCGTGTGAGGAGAAACGGCCCTGACTCTCGTGCTTCCCTGCTTCCCTGCGGGAGCACGTGTACATGAAGCACCTTCTGGGCACGGAGAGGGAGAACTGCTCTCCTGTAAGGCTACCTGGCCAAAGGTGTGACCTGCCTCTCCAAGGCTGGGCACCGAGCAACAAGGCTCCACCTGAGGAAGAGGGTGGCCACCTGGATGTGGCTGCACACACTCACCATCACCTCAGAGGATTCTATCATACTCACTGCCTTTGGCTAGTTAAGGTTCAGCCTCTCATATACTGGATCAAAAGGTTTCAAATAATTATGCAGCACACATTAAGTCAAGTTTCACTAAAAATACTTTATGGCTCTGGCTGGTGTGACTCAGTGGCTTGAGTACCAGCCTGTGAACCAAGTGGTCGTCAGTTTGATTCCCAGTCAGGGCACGTGCCCGGGTTGCAGGCCAGGTCCTCAGTTGGGGGTGAGCAAGAGGCAACTGATTCATTTATCTCTCGCACATTGATGTTCCTCTCCTCTTCTTTCTCCCTCCCTTCCCATCTCTCTAAAAAGAAATAAATAAAATCTTTTTTAAAAGTACTCTATGGAGACCACTAATAGTTCTTTGGACTCACATTTTAGTAAAATTAGCTTTCCAAAGCCAAGGAAATTAAATGAAGCTGACATCTAACTCTCTGAAGAAGAGGGCTCAGCAAGCTTTCATTCTAAAGGGCTCTAAAGACAGGAAGGAAAAGAGGGAAAGATCAAATCCAAATCATGCCACTTCCAGCCCCCACCCACCCCCGGCTTCTCCACTGTGGCCTATGATCCTCATGGTGGACAGCTTGGGATTTAGCTAAGGGGTCCTTTTGAATGGGTGGATGTTTGATGTGTTTAGATGAGTGGAACTGAGGAATAACTGCCACATCAACACATACGGCTTTGTTTGCAATACAACAGAATATGAAGAATAGCTTTGTTGGACAGAATTCTTCTTTGAATTGGGATTTTTCTATCTTATGGAGCATTTAAGATTTTGATATAAAGCAATTTATTGCTTGTTCTATTAAGTTTTATCCCCAGTATGCAGAACCAGGTAGTGGAGTTGTTATGTAACTTTTCATTTGTGTAAGGGCTATCCCAGGATCAAGGATGCCCAGTTAGGTCCCAGCCTCTCTCATTAGCCCAGTATTCAAGATGTTTTGCGTATACGTAGCTTTATCTCTCTCCAGCTCTTCTCCCCTACTAATCTGTAAGCTGGTGAAGGTCAGAACTCCTGCAGGACCCATTTCTGTACCCACCTCCCACTTCACCCCACCTCCCATGTTCTAACAGGTGGCTGACACTCAGTCCGGGGTATTGTCTCCACGTTACAGATGAGGAAACAGAGGCAAACAAAGCGGCTATGTGGCCTGTGCAAAGGTACCAAGTTAATTAGGGGCAGGAGAGTCTGTGTGACTCCATCACTCCACACTGCCTCTCAAAGCCAACAGGCAGTGAAGAGATAGGGACTAGGGCTGTCCTTTCAAAAGCCACTAAAGACAGCCACTGGCAGACAGCAGTGACAGACCAACGTGCAACTATCAGGTCACGTTAGAAACAGTTCCATGCCCGGGAGCATGGATTTCCGCGAGGTCAGCCCAACTCCTGCAGTACGTACTTACTGCATTAATTCTTCTATGATGCCATTTCAATCTCATTTCTAACCTCAAATCCAAATTCAAAGAAACCTTCCTTTACTTTGCCCTGAAACTGAAACCTAGTGCTGTACTTTTGTTCTCTTCAAACCTCTCTTTATTCTGCGATAATAAAAATGCTGTGTTTCATCCCAAAACAGGCTCCATGCCAAAATAAATAGCACCTTGGATTTCCTTGAAAAGAAAGCTTGGCTCAAAGCACAGCCTTATTGCCATGAGAATTCTTGGAGAAGTCAACCTTACAAAGTCAAATATTTAGCAAGGTAGCACACCAGACAGCGAGCCTGTCAATCCACGCACAATCACTTGCAAAGACAAAGCACTCTTTCCGAAAGAGAAGATTACCCATACCTCGCAGCGGTCCTGCCAAAATGATGAGAGCCTCTCCGTTCCAGGGCCCCTTGCCTCCAAGGGTCACTGTCCCCTGTGCTAAGAAGCAGGAGGCACCTGACCGCGCTGCAGCCCAGACGCCAGGGGAGGTGAAGTGCACTCCTGAAAAAGATTCTGCCAACTGAGCTCTCCAGCCGGCTCACTTCCTACCAACACAGGAAACAAAGAGATAACTCATGCTCAATAAACGACATATGAATACAATCTCGTTAACTCCCTTCCCACATTTTTCTGCGAGTGTCTGTCATTTTTGCCTGCATTGCAGCAGCTGAATGTGGAGCTTCATGAAGAAGAGGAAACTGTCACGAGAAGAGCTGTGACCACGTTACCTTCCCTTGGCTTACCCCCTCCCGGCCCTGTGCCTTCCCCCATAGCCCGGAGCAGGAGGAGTCGCCTCCTCACGGAAAGCAAGGTTTGGCTGCCGGACCCAGCTGCTGCTTGCAAGTTCAGCTCAGTAGCAGTGGCTCCCCAGCTGTTCAAGGACTGGGTCAGGTGATCTGTGACCTTGATGGAAAAGCAAATACTGACTTCCTTTTCACTCTCAGGAACAGGGGAGTGGGGTCAGGAGGGAATTCAAGGCTCAGTGAGTTGATACTGGATCTTGCCAAAAAAGGGAAAAAAGCTCAAATCCTTCAATTGAAAGTTAGTTCCCTGAGCTGCTATCATTTCGGAGGACCCCATCTAAAGACACCGAAACAGCACACACCTCTTCCCCTGACTCTCCAAAATCTAGGTGCTTATTTGGGAGGTCCTAATTAATTATGCCTTTCCTCCTTCCTTCCCATAGCTGGTGTGGCTCTTTAAAATTGCTCCTAAAGAGCACCGGCTTCCTTAGGAGTTGAAACCCTCCAGTCTTGCATCTCCTTCTTCCTGGCTCTGTTTTAGAAACTAGCCCCCACCCTCACCCCCCACTGGCCTCCTGGAGTCCCACAACCCTGCAAAGCTTCTGCAAGCAACCCCCGCCCGCCTGCTGCCCTGATCATGCAGTGTCTGGAAGTCTGTGGGGCAGAGCAGGGGACAGAAACAATGAGCGGTGAGCTCCTCTGGCAGCGCCGGCTTCCTGCTGCTCTACCGGTCGGCTGCCCCAGCACTGAAATGCACCCCATTCCGGCAAGAAAGTACCTACTGTAAGGATCCAGCTCCACACACGGTTTTTAACGGCAACACGGACCAGAGATCTCAGTGAGGCGGATGCTGGAGCCAGGGAGAAGGCAGCTGCGAAGGAGGAAGGTCTCACTGTCCCAGGCAGGCTTTGTGAAGAGTCCCAGCCAGCCCACTGCAGCCGCAGCTCGTAGGAGGAGAGGCAGGTGAGAGGCACAGCACAGAGGTTTCAGACTCTCCGGACCCAGCACCACTCTTGGACCTGAAGGAGATACAGGGTTGGGAGTACGGGTGCTGTCAAAAGGGGGCCAGGAGGTGCTCTGGGCTCCCGAATGCAGGATCAGGAGAATAGAGACCTTGTCCCCTTGCCCTTCTGTGGCTCTCACCAAAGGAGGCTGTCCTAGAAAAAAGAGCCCCATTAGTAAAATATGTCGAAGTAGCTCTGACCTTCACAGACACTGCCTTCGCGATGCGCTTTCAAAGGCCAGGCAGGTTCCTGTCTAACCCACGCTGAAATTGCGGCCAGCGGCTGCGCGTCACTCTGAAATGCTGCCTTCATCCAGCCCAGCCCAACTGGAAAGCCCCTTCCACCCGGGGTCCCCTTTACCCTCACACCAGCAAAGGCAGCCGGGTGGGGAGGAGCCCCCCATCGCACAGGCGAAGAAGCAAGTGGGAGACAGGCAGCCTCGGGGACTTCCCCGCTGAAACTGGGTGAAAATGAAGATTCCCTGGGTAGGGCTCCGTGTAGTTCTCACTGCACTGGATCACAGTCTTCATTTACCTTGAAAGATTCTAGAGCATCTTGCTCAAGAGAGAGGCTGAGACACTTCCCAAAGGGCACCGGGTGATGTGACGGACGAGGCTATGGAAGACCCACGTTCACTTTTCTCAGTTGCTAAAAGTATTTTTCTGTGTTTACCGAGCACACAGACCAAACCATCAAAATAAAAAAAAAAAATCAGAAATACACCTTCAACTCCGAGGTTCTATGAAAAAAAAACTACTACTGAGCAAAATACCTCTGATAGATTTTAGATGACCACTGACCATCCTCTCAAATTGGCTAGAGGATGCCTGGAGGCACAGGACATTTCACCAGGCAGCTGAGTGAAAAGCAGCTCTGCATTTAATCCGCCCCGTGACTTGGCAGCTACTCCCCTCTGGTTTACTCCGTGACGAAGAGAAGCGTTCTCTTTTCCTCTCCCAGCATAAAGTCTTCTCTGTGCAGGACAAACAGGTGACAGGCTTACTTCGAGAGCTGCATCTCTCTTACAAGACGCAACCTGCTGCCGGAAACACTGGCCAGCCAGTTCCCCTCTGTCCTCCAAGCTCCCTGCCTTAGCATCCCTGCGAGGGCAGTGGCCGCCCTTCCCGCGGCGCTGCTCCTGTCTGCCCTCCCCTGCGGGAGGCATCACCCTGATTCCCGCCTCTGTGTCTGTCTCCCTGACAAGCATAGGACTAGATGCTACACAAAGTTGGTGAAACTGAACTTTCCCGCAGTACGGCTGCCTCTCAACACAGGTGACCTTAAGTACCAAGGGAGCACCTCTGCCTTTCCATCAGCATCCAGGCCTCTCATCTGATTAAAAAAGACAGAATGAGGGAAGAAAATACCAGCCCCCCAGCAGTGCCACTGATCAGCTTGGCTCAGATCCTGGGACAGGAGACCCACAGGAAAATATCTCTCTCTCTCTCTCTCTCTCTCTCTCTCTCTCGTATACCGAACATCCCCAGACCTCTTTCTGGAGAAGAGTAGCACTTTCAGATCTGTGGGTCCTGCAGAGATGCTGAGGCAAGAACACTGCTTACCACCCATGTCTCTAAGACAGGAGAGAGATTCTCCTGTCTTTTGAGTCTTTCAAACTTGTTCAGTCCACTCCTTTAACTCCATGGTCAAGCAACAGAACAGGGAATATTATCCTACGTTTTCTGGATGAGAAAACAAAGTTTGCTCTCTAAGTCACGAAGAAAAAAAAGGGCAAAGCCTCAAAGCAAACCCAGGTTTTTCTATCTCCTAATCTAATACCGTCTCTTCCAAACCCCACGACCTGAACTGGGTGTGCCAGTGAATATAGGAGACATGCAAATACAGGATGGAAGCTTCAACGTTGGTGCTGTCCGAGCAGAAGTGACCTCACGTGGAGGGAAGGCCTTCATGGGAAACCCCAACAACTCTCTCTAGCGGCGCCTGGGCCTCCTGGGTGGGATCCCCTCCATGGCTTCTGGCCCTTGCCGTGCCTGGGTGCCACATATCCCCACCCCTCTGCCTCACTCACACCTATGTCTTAACACCAGTAGCCAACCGCATGTTACCACCAAGCCACTCCGAGCAGCCCCTGGAACAAACACATTTATATACGTGAACTTTTCTGGCAGGAGTTGCTCACCTGAAAGGGTTGATTCTTTTTTGTAGTTTAAAAACCTTCAATTTCTGCCCTTTCTGTGCCACAATGGGAAAAAGGTGGACTGTCCAAGCAGGCAAGATGGGTGCAAGGCAAGAGGGAAAAGGAGATGAACTGTCTTAAGAATGTGTCTCCCATCTAGGCGGTCCCGCAGGCTTTTGTCCTTTGCTTCAGAACAGCTGCTTGCGGTCTGTGAGGTTACACAGGGCCGAGCAGAAACCCCTTTGTTAGGTACAGGTGCTGCTGAAATAGAGCCTCTTGGAGCAGATAGGTTCTTGCCACGGCCATTCTGACAGGACACAACTTAAATGGAGGAAGAAATCATGCATGTCAGAAGGGTAGGTGTAGCAGTCCGGGGTGGGGGAAATCAGCTATTCTAAAGACTGATGCTTTAAAGCAGACGAAAATTTCTCATGGAGGAAACAGGGCCAATTGTAGGAAGAGGGGAAGCAGCATACAACCCGTGAAAAATGCTCCGTGGACAAAAATAAAGGCATCATCCTTCCCTTCATTCAGAGCCTTCCAGAAGGCTCTAAGTCCTTGACTTAAACATACTGAGATCAAGATGCCAATAGACAAATGAGGAAGGGGCAAGAGCAGGTAATTCAGAACAGAAGAAATACCAATGGTTAATATTTGGAAAGTGTTTAACCCTATGAATTATAATCAAATAGATGCTACATAAACATTGAAATGCCACATTATTTACTTACCCTCCACTGTGCCAGGCACTCTGTGCCCATTCCAAACACCATCCAATTGAATTCCCACCACAACCCTATAAAACAGTTTTACTATTTCCATTATCCAAGGACAAAGCTGAGGCTTGAGCAACTGCCCAGGTACTGAGAACATCGGCGCTAAGATTTGAATCCAGTTAATGTGCTGTTCTTAACCATGGCACAACACAGACTATTTTACAAGTTAAAAAAAATTTTTTTTTCATTAAAGAAAGATCTTCAGCATTGCTAAGAGTGTGATAAGAACGGGACACACCTCTGCAGAAGATTTCAGTGGTCGAGGCAGCAGCAGCCAAGAGAGGAGCTGCACACGCAGCCCGCTCCAGGCCGTCCCGGTCGCTGCCCGAGTGTTCCAGGGCCCTGGCTTAGTCTCTGCGGTGTACGCGTGTCTTCAGAATCAAATACAACCGAATAAAACGGGGAAGTGAGGAGATGAAAAATGTCACAGTGACATGTGTTTTCTTCGTCTAAAATATCATCGCTGTTATGACTGATGTATTCTTAGAAAATAAAAAATAAACTACCTGGGGGGGAAAAGGTGGGAAATCACTATCATCCTACTAAGTGGATGCTAGTTTCATGTCTACCCATTTTGTGGATTTTAACATAATTGATGAAAGCAAGTTCTATGGTAGCTAAGAGTCTGGGCTCCATGTCTGGAATCCGAGCCCTGGCTCTGACTGTGCGCCCTTGGAGAAAGCACTAAACCTCTGTGCCTCCGCTGCGTGATTTGTGAACTAGGCACAGGGAGGTGCCCTACACATCGTGGATCTGTCAGGGCGATTAAATGAGGTGATAATACATGTCCAGCACTTAGAACAGAGGGTCTGTGTTAGTCTATAATAAATATATTAGCTATAAAATAATTGACAACATTCAATTATCAATTCAATTTTGTATTTAAAATTCTATCAGGTATCCATTTTAAAATATAGTTATAGTTACTTCATAATGACCACTAAAAGTGGCTCTGCAAGATTCTACTGACTTAGGCCTTATTTTCCAAACCCACTACCTACCTGCCTCCTGGAGGTCATACCACCTCTTTTGAACTCTCCCTTCAACACTACCAGATGAGCCACCTGCCAGGCTGGCCTCAGGGCAGGTCTCCAGGGAGGTCCCAATCCTAGGTGGCTGAAACTCAGCTGCCACAAGTGATGTTGAATGGTTAAAAGCACAGGCTTTGAGGTAAGATAGACCAGGTTCAAATCCCAGCTCTGTGACCTTGAACAAATTTCCTTATTCAAGAAGAACCCAGCTCAGTATACGGTTGTGAGGACTCTGTTAGACATGGATGTAAAATGCTTGTGTCGATGCTTAGTTTGTAATAACTACTCAATAAATCTTCGCTATGATTATTTTTTAATACCCACAGTGTTTTAAGCAAGGAAAGAGCCAGAATCATGTTTGTTTTACTTATCACCCTATTCCTAAGAGTTGGCATGGTAGAACTCAACAAAAATGTCCTGAATCGATGAATAAATAAACAAATGATAGATATATCACAGAGATGATCAGAGTCAGAAAGGATATTTTAAAAATATCTTTATTTAGACACAGTCCACATACCATACAATTTACCCATATAAATTGTACAACTCAATAGATGTAGTATATTCATAGTTGTGCAAACATTTCCACAACCTAATTTTTAAAATTGTGTTAAAATATACATAACATAAAAGTTACCATTTTATAACCATTTGTAGATGTAAAGCTCAGTGGCATTAAATATATTCACAATGTCATGTAACCATCACCACTATCTACACCCAAAACTTTTTCGTCATTTCCAACATAAATTCTATAACTCATTAAACAACAACTCTCTATTCTCTTGCCCTGGACCTGGTAACACCTATTCTACTTTCTGCCTGTATAAATTTGCATATTCTAGGTGCTTCAAGTAAGTGGAATCATATAATATTTGTCCTTCTGTGTCTGGCTTATTTCACTTAGCATATTTTCAAGGTCCAGTCAAGTTGTGGCATATATAAATTTTCATTTCTTTCTAT